TCGCGAAGTCGTAGTGCGACCTCAGCTATTTTTCGTTCCAACATAGATGATGACGTGATCCCGCCTCGTCTATCCTTGCACCTTGCTTCACTGCTTCAGTGTCGACCTCGGGTCTCATCGTTCAAGGCTTCGTACTCTCTCCAGTCATTCCCGCATTTTGGCTGTCCTTTCTTCCCTCTACCAAACAGCGGTATTTTATACTTTCAGCTCGTTGAATCGACGACGTGACCCAGCTTCTTTTCACCAATGTGTAGCATCACTAACATTAAGTTAATTTCGGTTCCGTAGAACCCGTGAATAGGTTAGTCACCCTTCGTGAACACGTCAAGTATTCTCATTCGACATAGCTTGTAAACCTCTACTACCTGGCTGATGGCGCAGCTTTATTGTACAGTAACGTTGCTGGTGATTGATAGGTGAACGTTGCATTTCACAGTCTCTCCGAGAATTCAGTTGCTTCCCCCTCCATGCCATGCCAGTTGGTTTCCCTGACGGAAGGTCGGTCGGAAAGAGAATGCCCTGCAGCCTTGGAGGTGACTATGTCTCCTTCATAGATCGCTAGTCGTTCAGTCGGGCTGGTCTCTGAGAGTCATGCCTCACTGCTCGGTCTCAACGTGTGAAAGCTTGCCCGCGGGGAAAGACCCCAGCTGACTGGGACTGCCCTATATGTCTGGTACCACATCCTTCCCAACCGTGAGTTCCTCCCTCTTCGTTCTTGCTGATCGCAGGTGCCCTTCTCTGTTCTCGTTCTTCAACTCACTGCCCACCCCATACTACTATCAATGATATCACGAGATTGTGGAAAGTGCATTTCTTGTGGCAGATCAGGGGTAGGATAAACGATTCCCACAGAGCAACCATGCGTCATTACGTCTCGTAGCATAACATGTTTAGATTATGTATACAAATTATTCGCAAGCACTCATAATGATTATTAAAGTCCAGCTTGAAAATTCTCATGTTAAACACGAAGAGAATTCTTCCTGTAGTCCAGGGGTGTCAAACATACGGCCCGCGGGCCGGATCCGGGCCGCGGAGGTGGTTCATCCGGCCCGCCGTCTGTTCTTGAAATTTCCGCTTGAATTGACTGTTAGCACAAATTTCAGTGAAAAAGTATGGGTGCGGCCCGCAGGCATCTCTAGGATAAGGAACGCGGCCCGCCGACCGATTTAGGTTTGACACCCCTGCTGTAGTCCATCTGCAGCGATGAGTCTATTTTCTCAGGACTCCTCATAAATTGTACATCGTGCAACTTTCCAGCTTAACCAGCTGGAAACCTGTTTCCGAGAAATAGGCCCAGATGCAATTACACATTAATGTCTGTCCAAGTATCGTATTCAATATATTGATAGAAGTTCTTCAAGTGTTCTTTCCTGAAATAGGGTTACCCTTTGCACTCATCCTGTGACCAATTGGGCGCAGGGACTGAACTGATTTTAAATTACATTATGCATATTTCGTACAGGAATTAATTCTTGGGGCATTTTCCCTGAAGGAAGGGATCCACCCAGACATTGTGCACTCAATGGTAACCATGCCAACAAATTAGTTGTTCAGTTACAGCTAATATTAATATTACATTTTGAAATTAGATGTTAGTTTGCATGTTGGGTGACATTAAGTATGATTTTTTAAGAAAAAATAACCTAGGAAAAGGGCAGAAAACAATTCGTGACTGAAAGGTTAAATGACACCGAAAGGTGCACAGAACTCCTCCAAAGTATGATTTTACTCGGGCATTCATATTGCCTCTACTACTGACTTGGAATATACTAACTTCTTATGGGTTTTTATTTCTTAGAACATGAACAACAGGTATGACTGGAATTGCGATGTACAAATGTGGTTTATAACATATATGTGGCATGTTTCATTCAAAATAAATACGTTAGAGAGTCCCAAAAAATCATAAAAGAGAATGTCACCAGCTTTATGTCGAGAAATGATGTTTTTGTACGCACTGTTGCGCCCATAAACTAGGCTTCGTTCTTCCATGCTTTAGAGCCTTCAGGCAGTGCAACTCTTGACATTTTCCCTACTGAAGCCGAATGTTGTACACTTCATCATAGCAACCTTGCATCTTCAGTTGCCAGTACATGCCATTGTGCCACCACCACCACATCTGAGATGCTCATTGCATGTCTTGGCAGCCTCAGAAGGAGCTTTCAAGTATGGCTGATGCTCACCTTCTTTCAATGTAATATAATGGGTAGTTTTTTTTTTAATCCGTTATTACTGCGAATATCCCAACAATTAACCGATTTTTGGAATTAACCTGCTCCAACTCTTGCTCATATTAAATTGAATTTTCTTCTTAGTGATTACGGCATGTAACTTGATACATAATGAGACAAATGGTATTCTTTCGAAATATACCTCCCTGCAATAGAACCCTTTTTTATAATAAAAAATAAAATGTATGTTCCTGTAGATTCAAAACTACCAAGTCAAAATTATTATTTTTTTGCTCCGTTCATGGTTCAACTTTTATGACCTTGAAAACGACCTTCAAGCTCAATATCTGGGATTGATCAATATCTTAAATCTCTATCTCCGAATAACCATAGCCTTTTACGTAGCCAGGGCTATTACATTCCTGAAAGGGTCAAGTAATATTGAGAACAGAACTCGACTCGAGGTCACCGAGTCGTGTCACAAATGGCTGACATTGGCTGAAGCCCCACGTATCAAGGTTCCGAACTCGAATTCACGGGTAAAAAATTATTGAAGGAGCCCGAATCCTCTCATTTCCTTCTCTGAGATGATCGGGAATTAAGGCGCCAAGAAATTAAGCCGAGACACAAACAAACGAAACGCCTGCGAATTCGTGTGATGTGCTTGGCTAGTCGCGCAGTTAAGACCGTATGGCTGTATTTTGTCTCTCTTGAGAGGGCTTATAATTTTCTCATCTATCATGCATGCAACATATGCAACTTTCAGATATGACGAAGTTGTTTACTTCCTGAACTGTGCTATGAAATATATGATTCCAAAGTTGATATTTTTTAAATTAGCTTATACCACTAAGAGAACCATGTCGTTGACACAAATTTTTCCCCCCCCCCCCCTGTATTTCGACCCTTCGACGAAAATCAGCTTTCACCGGAAAGATTTTACTTCGATGAAATATGATTTTGTCCAAATTTATTCGATATTTCGAGCGTCGTCCACTCGATTCATTGGCATGTCAAGTATTCAATACTGCTGTTTTCGGTTAGTGGGTGTTCGACATTTAGATACAACCCCGACGTCGTCCCAGACTGGAGTTTATTTGCCGTTTCGGGCAAAATGGCAAAATCATGATTCCTGGATGCTCATTAGTGGCAAGATCGAATTTTAAAAAGCGAAACCCATCAACATTTGGGACTTTTAGGAAAAGTTTGGGCAAAATGACCGAGTGCGCGTTTCTCCAAACTGTTGTTGGTACCTGTTGTTGGTTTAGTGTTTTGATAAAAATGCGCAAGACTTGACTAAGACTTGAATGAGAGCAACGAAGCAGTCTTTCGTCGTCGTTTTCCTGAGGCCTTTAATGTTTTGGAAGGTTCTGATGTTTATTTTATGCATATATCCCATTTTTATGAACATAAAAGTAATGAGAATGCAGTCATAAACAAGCTTGGGAAAGAAGTAGCCTATCTTAGGTATGTATACGGATAATTGTGTTTAGATTCATCACACTTCGCTTATCAGACCTTCATCACTGTTTGACCTAGGTGTGTTTGTTGAAAGACCATGCGTAGGGCAGAACGACGTAAGGGTTAGGCAGTTTTGGCTTGCAGGTAGGATGTGTACGCTAACTCAACAGATGTTATTTTTAAGGGAGTGGCCATCATCAGGTGGCAAAGGACAGAAATTCTAGCATCTCATGGGTGTCATCAGTTTTTTTTCTGAGTGAAATAGTTTACACAATATGCTCTATAAGCTAACAATTTGGAGATCATGGCACGCACTTCCACGCGCAAAATCGATCAACAATCATGGAACTAGGAAAACATGAAACTGTCGCTCCAGGCAATCGAAAAGAAGGAAACTGAATGATAAAGACAGCTACGACTTTTTGTAACTCCAAGACAGAGGGAATGAAACAATAATTTTCTGGCAGAAAATAATAGATTTCAGGATGGGGATTATAGCTAAACTGTTTTAGAAGTTTGCCTAAATTTTTTATATTTACAGGTTAACGGGAAATTTATTTATACTTCAATTGTTATTCTTCCTTTTACTAATCTAATTTTCTACACTTATTTTCTGCTTATTCTTTTCATGTTGAAATCAAGTTTCAATGTCATTAGGGAAAAAAAACAGGGATGAGAGTACAGAATGCAGAAAATGTAGTCCTTTTGAATATGCTGGATTGGAGAAGGGAATAAAATGTCTTTGCTAATAACAGCGTTAGTAAGTATTTGGTGTCAGCTGCAGAATTAGAAAAAATATATATCTGCAACCATTCAGTTAATTTTGCGGGAAGTGTTTCTTAACTATTATTTTCCCCATACCTTCCCAACTTAAGATACATGCGGATGTTCAATGACAACGATCGAGGTTCCGTCCTGCCTACAAATCTAATCGAGAAGACAACTCTGTTTTCAAGGGTCTGCACCCCACTTTTCTTCAGTATCCTCTACGTTCTTTGGCTACGTCTGACGCTAAAGATGGGACCCTTCATTTATCTTGGTCTCAATCCCACCATTCTGTTTCCTCGTCGAGAAGTTTTCGCCATTAATGCTTTTTAAATCTCTCTTTGTCTCTTCTTTCCTTTTTTTTCTTCTCCTGGATGCAGTCCTCTTGCATGGACATTTCCGCTAACACGCTAAAAATCTTGTGCAATTTTTTTTGTCATAACCTTTTTCTCCTTGTGGTTTCCAAATGAGAGATTTTATTCACATCCTAAATACAACTAGAAAAGACCATAGAAGCTGGACATTCTATTTAAATTGTATTATGCTCTCTTTTCTTGCAGGAAAAGTTAAGAGGCAGCATCAGCTTTAGAAGAAAATGATATGAGAGGATCTACAAATAGAAGAGGAGCTGTTGAAGAGGCTCTTCCTGCTACCCCTCAGGGGACTCCAGGATCTAGTGCAACAAAGAAAAGGAGAGGGAGGGAGGGCAAGGCGCATGAATGCATTCCAGTCTCTGAGTCTAAGAAGAGAGGTGAAAGACCGATTGCCAAAGCAGATGGTGGAAGCTCTTCGCAGCCATCAGAAGCTGGAGAAGTAATATCGGCCTTGATCAGTACAAATGAGCTGGTGATGCTGGAATCTCAACACATCTCACAGCCTGCTTCAACCGTGGGCACTAGAAGTTCACGAGGGAAGAGAGGTCGAGTGAACGCCTCAGCTGCGACAGAGATTGCTGAAGCGGGGTCAAGCCAGGCGAAGAGAAGGAACCAAAAGAGAGCTGCTGATGTTTCGGAATCACCTGTAGCAGACGTAGAACAATCCAAAACCTCTACAATACCCGAATTCACCCCTGTCTCTGAACCTGTTGAGAGAGTGAGAACGAGAGGGAAAGCAGATTGTGCCATTGTTGCCGAATCATCAGATGTTGGACAGGAAGCCTCAGCATTAATCATAAGCAGGAAACCACATAGAAGACCACATCGAATGGTGTCTGCAGACACACCACTGGCGGCTCCAAGTCAGGAGAAAACAAGAACCAGAGGGGAGAGAGGCCACTTGAAAACTTCTGGAACAGAGGAAACTGCAGAAGCAGGATCAAGTCAGGGAAGGAGTACAAGACGAAAGAAAATCATTGATTTGTCAGAAAAGCATGAAAAAAAAATTGTAGGAAGCCAAGTCACCGAAATATCAGAAACCACCCCTGTATCTGAACTTCCCAAGAGAGGGGGAAGGACGGGAAGGAAAGCTGCCGACCTCGTCATAGTGGAATCATCCGAAACCGTAGAGAGGGCTCTAGAATTTCTCAAAAACAAAAGACCACTGCATTTTCAATTGGTAGATACACCATTAGCAACTCCAAGTCAAGACACCAGCGAACAGGAGAGAGGCAGAACCACTGTCTCTGATGCTGGCGATGATGAAGAACCCCTATCGACAGGGAAGCAACAATCCTGTATTGATCAAACCACTTCTGCTTTTCCTGAAAACAGGATAGAATATACTGAGGCATCACAGACTCGTAAGGGCGAAAGGGCTCCAAGAAAGGTTGAACGAGAGGCTGCAGGTGATAAAGGCGATAATGATGTGTTCCCTACTCGAAACAGTACTAGAAAGAAGGCGACATGCTCTACACCCAAAGCGCACAAGGGACGGATCACCAGGGTTTGCAGAGCTGGTCAGGTGGCAGAAGAAGGCAAATCATCCCCTCAACAGCAAGGCAAAGCTGTTACCCGTCGAGGGAGAGAGATGAAGGCAGTAGAAAAGCCGTAAGTTCGTAGTCATTGATCGTTATCCTCATCATGAGCGATGTGATTGGTGGAATGTAGTTTGTGTCTATTGGTATGCAATTATTTGAAAGGTTTGGGGAAACACCCACTGTACAGACGCCACTGAAGATAAGGACAGGTGGCAGGCAAGTACATTTTTCCTCACCTTTTCCCACACGGTACGGAGATACTCCTCCGGCTACTCCCTGCATGAAAGGGAAAGGTGATCATTCTCAAGCATTGCATGAAAGCAGTCGCACAGGAATATAATTTCGTTTATAGGTATTGTAGTTAGTGGTGTAATAAAAAATTATGTTTTCAGCAGCAAAACTCATGCATCCAATAAACGTCATTTATAACTTTAAGAAAGTTTAAAATTTTGTTATCACTCTAACAAGAGCTACAATTTGGACTTGACTCTGAAGAAAAGTTGACGAGAATGAAATATTAGGATTTCCCTGGTGGAAATTATTTTCCACAATATATTTGCTCAATGCTACCTAATATGTACATTCAACTGTACCTTCAATTATATGAGGGCTCTTAAGAAAGTAAGTGCACTTTATTTTTTTTTATAGGACACAACCTGGGAAATATCACTACGACAAGTCTTTCTTCTCCACATAACCGCCCTTTAATTTTTGGCACTTGGCCCCGTTTGTGACTGAGGTTCCAAATAGCGACAGCATAAGCAAATTTGAGTATCTGTTTGAGGTACTGGAAAATGGAGGATCCCAAGTTACTACGGCGCTGAAACCTGCGACCACGAAGTTCCTTGAGTTTCGTATAAAAAGTAGCTACTGGGGGGCCAAGTCAGGACTGTAAGGTGGATATGGCACAAAATCCTAGCTGGGTTCTGTGATGGCTGCAGTCATGATGTTGGCTGTGTGTAAGGGAGCGTTATTGGATGACATGCACCTGATTGCTTAACTTAAAGTAATCTGATCTCACTATGGTCCTCTATGGGAATCCGTTTGACGGAGGTAATCTTATTCCCATAGATGCACAATGTGAAACCAGATCAATTTCAAGTTAAACGGATGTGGTACATGTCACCCATTGTGCTGTAGGAGCACTCCTTGTTGCAACCGGTTATGTTTTTTCCTTTGCTGGACTGGCAGCAATTCCTTCCTCAAAACGTCAGATTATTTTTCCCGGTAACAGTGACACCCTGAGGCATCGGATGAATTAGAATGACTCCTTCCACGTTCCAAAACATGACGTGTCGAACTTTCCCAACAGATTTTTCAGTACGACTCTTCTTGGGAGGTAGAGATACAGGTTGTTTCGCATTGACTGCTTTCGTTTCCGAACCATAAAATGCATCTTTGTCTTATCTGCTGTGACGATACGTTTCAGGAATGGGACACCTTCCGATCTGTAGCGGTCAAAGTTCTTCCTGCAAACGGTGACGTGCAGGCCTTTCTGTGGGGGGTGCGTCAAGAGACATGGAATCCACCTGGTAGACACTTTGGTAATGTGTAGATGCTCGTGAATGAGGTGATGACATTCAACCTACAGAGAGGCCAATGAATTTCTGTCACTCGGCTGCAATTATGCGACGGTCTTCAGTTACAAGTGACTTCACCAAACGAATGTGATTAGGATCTGTTGCTGTTCTGGGTCTTCCTGAACGCTCTTATCACACACAAGACGCACATACGACCACCAGCAAAACATACTCTCTTCTCGTAAACTATCAAGGCATTGTCACCAAACACTTTCACGAGCTCGTCATTAATTTTGGCGAGGTTCTCACCCTCTTTCAGCAAAGAATTCGATAATGGCAAGCTTTTCAACTACCTAGACACTCATCATTACCTAACGCATAACAGCTTAGAATGGCGACCACTTGATAACAATTAGGATCGGCATCTATATGTGAATTGGTCCACTTAATGTTGAAGCCTGGCAGTATCTCGTAGGCATGTCACTGTTCCTCTGCTATTGCTTTAAAAAGAGGTGTACCTACTTTCTGAAGGGCCTTCGTATTTGATAGTGAAAAATTGTAAACATCTTGCACAGCCTTTGGAGTGAAAAATATGTTCTTGGTCAATGTCATTCAAAAATGTCTCACTCGCGTTCATCAGGAGTCTTGAAATTTAGATCTACGTAAAATATCGAATACATTTTGAATTTGAAAATGTTTCCCCTATGGGGAAACTTTAGCTCTTCAGGGATGAATTTTTTTGACACGGAATTTTTTTTTTTTTTTACATGTGTAGAGTACTTTGCAAGCTGGGGGAATAATATCAACTACAGTGAAAGCTCCCAACAAATTAGCCGCATCTGTAGCATCTGAGCAGTTGGGATCAGTTTTTTTTACTATTTTAAAATGCATTGAATCAAACGTCTACATTTGTGCCAGTATCCCTGAAGTGGTTAAGCGAAATGCCTAATTCCTTGCTTTTTTGGGTGAGAGAACGAGGACACTTAGGCACGCCTCGAAAAAATGGGTTGATTGGGGTCAAAGACATGCTCTCTCTGCACGTCACGTACACGTTCACGTATGGACTTTGAGACAATTCTGAAAACTGGGAACAATGCAAATCGAAAATAATAGCTTGAACAGGTTTGTGAATGTCGACTCCAGAAGGCTCGAAATGTAAGTTTTCCTGATACTTCCCCGAAACTTTTACTGCACTTCCCATCGCCGCCCAGTTTTAAATTTATTGTTTTTATTTTAATATAGACCTTGAGCTTTCGTACAATCTTAATGAAAGTGGGATTTTGTAACTGTAGACGAGTTCTGGATGCCTTCATGCTACTGCAGCCATTAGTTTTTATTTATTTATTTATAAAGATGTGCTTCCATTAGCACTTTGCTATTGCTGATTCCTGATCACCGAGAACGCAACATTGAAAAATGTGATCGGAGAGGAAATCATCTTGATTCTTTTCTTAATTGTGAATTTGTGATTGAGCCACTGTAAATGTTTGAATTTTGAACATCGCGTTCATTACTTTTCGTTCGACAGTCTTGCGTCCTTTCGTTGTCTCCACATCATGAAAATTAATTTTTTATTTACTCGTTTGCTCATTTTCATGAGAACTCGAGCAAAATCTAAGGGCCTTCGCCTGTGTTTGCTTTCACTGTGATAGCGTGTAATGTTGGAAATTAACGTTTTTCTATCAAGTTTGATTATTTTTCCTTGCTTCCAACTTTTTTTATTTGGTTGCACCCATCCACAAACTCGCATATCCCACTTGCTTTAAGTACACCTGTCCAAAAGAACGGAGACGACTGGAAGCAAGGCTGACTGAGGCGGACCATCCTGCAATACTGCAATAATTTTCTCTATAGTAGTTATACGTCGATAAAGTCGCTGATAATTAATGGCGTATTGGCAGCTATTAAACTAGCAAGCGACGTCATAAGGTCCTCGCCCAGGCCTGACCGGAAAATCTTTCCCAACTTTACCCCTCTGTATGACAAGGAGTGCAGCGTTTTACAAGAATATTTCCATGTGATTCTTACAAAACCCAAGAAAATGAGCTTCAACACCCGAAGACTCACTCGACACGTTCTCAGTATCGTCGCTCACTGAGGACGAAAAAAAAGTATTATAGACAAAAGCAAAGTCTGAATATAATGGCAGCTCTTCAAGGACGCGAAGAAGGGAAATTCTGGTGATGCTTACCATCAAAATCTAATGCCTTCCCAGCGACCATTTATCCAACGCTATGGGGTAAAGGATTTTTCAAATGTATTTGGAAGCTACATAACATCCCTTAATTCGCTATTGGCGACGTTCATTTTAATCGTAAACTGGATGCTCTCTTCTCTTTGAGCAAAATACACGTGGCCGTACTCACTTTGAAATTGGGATAATCTCCAAGAAATGATGGAATTGATGCAGACTTTTACATGGACGGATGAAGGATCCCTGAACTGCGAAACTGCCTACAGGATAATTGATCAGTTCTTTCATGCCCAATGCTTCTCTGTGGTTTGGTAGAAGTCGATAATCTTTCCGCAATATAAACAGAACCATTAATAACTATAGGATCGTATCTTAACTTGTCAGCAGCAGCAAGATGTTCACCACCATCCGTAAATAGATAATGAGACGGGTGACCGGGCAACGCAATATTTGCTGAGAACTATAAGTGTTTCGCCAAAATTAGGCCTAGTCCCCAAACAATCAAATCTTCACCCTAAATTATATCCCTCCCCCAAATATTTTATGAGAACCAAGGGAAGAGCTTACTGATTAGCTGTCGATATGGGGAGGCTATCTGCAAATTGAATAAGAACTGACAATTGCAAAAACGAATTTCCAAAGACCAGAGCTATAAAATCGTGAATATTTTAAATATATGCTCTCTGTTGTCAAGGCTGCAACATCTCCCATTTGTTACGTCATTTTTTCATCTATGATCTTCCAAAAGAACTGATCGAAGCGTCACAGATAGTATTAAAATGAAAGGACAGGTTGATGCAGTGCCTAATGTCTACCGATTACATTGATTGATTCATTACATCTCAGCGGAAATGCTATAAATAACTAATCGATCCCCGAAGCATGAAGCTTAATGTGAACTTATATTTAAAAAATCGATGACATTCTGCTGGGGTGGAAAGCTGGAACGACATGTGAAATGACTTTACAACCCATCAAGGTAGTAGCAAAATGCGCTTCCCTTGGAATCGCCTTCAACGCCTTCGGATCATGGGGCCCATGTCAAGTTTTGCTGGCAGCAAGAGCCTTCTAAAACGCTGTTTGCAATGCAATGAAAGCGTGAGGTTTTCAGTCCCTCCACTCTTGCCTTACAATATATTTTATGCTATCTAGCGTGTTTTGCTCTACGGAAGTGAAATGCAGTGCTTTCGAGTGAACTCCCTGATCGACTAAGTTCATATGAAGTCCCATAAGTGTTTGTTGAAGGTGCACTCTTCAATGCCAAATGATAATACTATAGGTGAGGTTGTTCGTCATTCTTTGAGAATCGCTTGTTGCCTGCATGCTATATCGTACTGGCTGAGAAGCGTTGCAATGGACC